GTCCAAGACGCTGCAGACGCTTCATTCAGAGCCACCGCTGCATAATATATATGAATTATTCATTAATTCAATCAATCTATATTTATTCACATCTACAATTCAAGAGAGATTTTTCTAATGTATCAAAACATTTTAGCAAATTTGTTCAAAACGCAGCTGAATATATAAAGTATATTTATTTTTACATAAACATGAACAAACAAACGTGCCTTTTGAGGCTTCCAAACAGTCGGCTTCCTGCTGACCTGTCACGAAGACGGGGCGTGAAACACGCGATTGCTGCATAATAGGCGTGACTAAATACGTTCGTATTCAGTCGATTTATCAACACCCGCAGCTGCGTACGCTCATATCTGGGCGGATCTCACATGTTCATAAATCCGACAGTGGATTTTGCGTAAATGGAATATACACCCAAAATGTACACCTTTTTCTACGCAAGTTTCATAAATGAGCTTGTGTGTATGTGCCCGCGTGAGTGCGTGTGCGTGCGTGTGTGCGTTTGAGCCATATTCTTGGAAACCCCAATTCCAGCTAGCCTTTGTAGTTTGCAAGCGAATTTGGCCTACTTACTAATCTGCAGGCCTACCCAAAATTGCAAACCTGGCGCCGCTACTGGTAGGTACATTAGGGCCTCACAGCAAAGGCCTAAAGCAGGGGCCTCATTACTTTAATACTTACAGTCTGTGGTAAATACACGGGCTACAGGTGTTACACGTGCTTAGACTAGACTTGTATGTGTAACATTCAAAATAGATTGAGTGAATATGCCCTTTTCTTCATTTAGTGGTTTGCGGAGGAGAGAGCAGCGAGAGAAGTTTGGCAGGGGAGGAGCCGTGTGGAGTTAAAATAAATGAATTACAGCTTGCTAAATTATTTGAAAGCATCTTCATTATGATTGTTATATTTATGTATTTATTATAAATGTTAGAGATGCCAGAGAAAAGGCGTCTGCTTTTTTTCTGAGTGGGAGGAGACACCAGCGGAGCTGTTTGAGTCAGATAACGTTCAGCGTTATATTACTCAGACACCGCCGCTGGACCAGCCGCTTCTGGGACTGCCGTTCAGACCGCCTGGCCTCGACCGCCTGACCTCGTTACCGCCTTGACCTGACTCAGCACCGCTGGACCGCTATTACTGTATACTCGCATAACCAGAATTCGTGTTCACAACATTTGTCTTGAACTTTCATCCGCACTAACTTTTTTTTTCCTTGCACCTGCCTCTCTCCTGTGACAGTGGTGAGCTGCAGTGTGTTGGTGACCAGGAGGTGGAAAGTGGGCCCTGTTTGTACCAGGGAGTACTCCTGGCTGTACGAGGAGATAGAGGACCCTGTATCAAATCATGCACGACAGGGTTGGCCATCTACAACGGCAATCCAAGTACAGTCCTTTTGAGCAACCAGGTTGGCCCACCACATTGACATTGTCCTTGTAGAGGTCAGGTTTTTTGGGTTGGGTCTTCCTCTCTACTCCACCCCCCGATCGTTTCCCGTTGGCTGTGGCTCCCTAGCTTTTGGGGATGGTGCAGCAGTTTCGAGCTAAGTGTCCGGTATCATCAACAGCGAAAACAGCGATCGGTGTCATTCTGCGGCGTCCCCTGGGGGCTGGAGTACGGCACTGATAAACTTCTTCAACTCCGACTTCTTCATAATCCACTGGCGAACTCGCTGCACAATATTTGTGCCCTTCCCAGGTTTGGGCCGTGTGGAGAGCAATATCTCCGCCGCGGTTCAGCTTCCTGGAGACTCATTCAGGCAGCGAGTGGCGAGCTAGACGCAACATATTGGCTAGCCTTTTCTGGGGTAAGACCTTGGAGAAATGCATGGAATGCCGATTCGTCACTTTGCAGCAATTGGAAACTGTGTAACCACGCTGGGTATAGGCTGTATAATGGGCGCGAAGGTACCCAAGTTTTCCCCTTCCTTCCGATATAGGCCACTCAGCTGCTCCCTGCTCACTTCCGCATGCAGGCGCATTCCCAAAGCGCCGTCGAGACCAACCATCAGGGCCCGTAAATCATGCTGAGACTCTAGGGACAAGTCTAGGAGAATTTGAAGGCGACACCTTCTAATGCCAAGCAAGGTGGTGGCAGTTTCATTGTCGCTCCCAGCCACTATGCCATGATGCTAATCAACTTGGGCGAAAGAATGGCTCTACTGGTGTGGTTCCACTGTACTTGTGTATGTTTAGTCAGGTTCTTTGGTGTAATCATCTGTCTTGGGCATGTGGTTATCACAGTTTGCATCTGAATATGTGCTGAGCCCCCCCCTAGTATGTCATTCACTGGACATTCTGCTCGAGTTGCCTGTTTTTGAGAGCTTATATCCTTGCCTGACAGAACTCCCAGGGGGCTCGTGGCCTCTCAATGCTCGTTTACTTGAAGTGTGGTGCACACGGCAGTAAAAGTACTAAACTCAATCTTTTTACTGAGTTGAAAAATTAAGAAACAATGTATGAATACATTTCCTATCTTCATATTTCCTATTATTTCTACTTACTTCTTCCCATTTTACTCCTACAAATAAGTGTGAACCTTTCTTCAACAAAACTAGTATTTTGACAGTGAACCAACGCTACTGAAATTGTGACTTAGCCTGTTTGCTATTCAATGCTCAGATATTATATTTCTGATTTTGTTAGGGACATAAATACAGTTCGGTAATAATCTATTCACAAACTACTATCAACAATAATGGTCAAATTTACTTGTGAAAAGTATTCCCCGAGCCCTGTTTTGAATAGTCCGCCTATTTTGACAGCAACACTCCGCACAATACTCTTTATATGTCTTAAGTGCGTAATGGCCCGGAGACAGGCGCTGACGGAGCAGCAATGATTTTACACTCGTAAAAAATTTACTTTGAAAAAATGTTTAAAAAAAAAATATCACATAGATTAGTAACTTATAAGTATCAAAAATAAAAAATATGGTTTTTATGATAATGAAATGTCAGTAAAGCAATTTGGCACAATTGTGCCAAATGGCACAACTTGATGAAAAGGAGAAACTGCCTAAAAACTATAAAACTTAGAGGTCTGAAACTTAGAGAGTTGTTGTCAACAACACAATGGGCCTCATTCACAAATAACTTCGTAAGAAACTTCTTAAATTCCTTCTCAAGTCGTTCTTAAGTAGATTTCTAAGAAGACCCAACACGCTCGTAAGCCTCTGAATCGTTTGCAGCTGTTCTCTCAGATTGATGAATGCCAACTCCTCGTAAGTAGAGCGCGCGTGCCCGGTGCTTCATTAGGCAAGGCAAGGCAAGTTTATTTGTATAGCACAATTCATACACAAGGCAACTCAAAGTGCTGAACAAGATAGCATTAAAATCATAATCACAGACCATTAAAAAGAAAGATAAAAATATAAAATCCCTCAGTTGTATGCACAGCTAAACAGCACCGTTTTTAACCTGGTTTTAAACATTGTCAGAGAGGAGGCCTGTCTCACATCTTCAGGAAGATTGTTCCAGATTTTAGCAGCATGAATCTGAAAAGCAGCCTCCCCAACTAACAGGAGTCCAGTCCCTGTGCTCCTCAGAGTCCGGGCTGGTTCGTATGGTACTAACATGTCACTAATATATTTTGGTGCGAGGCCATGGAGAGACTACACAAGCAGAGCTGTTTTAAAGTCTATTCTCTGAACCACAGGAAGCCAATGCAGAGACCTGGGGACCAGACAAATATGGTCGTACTTCCTGGTTCTAGTCAGGACTCAAGCTGCTGCATTTTTAATGTACTGCAGCTGTTTTACAGCCTGTTTGGACAGACCTGTGAGCAGGCCATAGCAGTAGTCTAACCTACTGGAGACAAATGCATGGATAAGAATCTCCAGGTCTGCTTTAGACACTATGTTTTTGATCCTGGCAATGTTTTTTACGTGGTAGAAAGCTGCTGATTTTACTGATTTGATGTGGTTATTAAAATTTAAGTCTGAGTCCAGTATTACCCCTAGATTTCTGACCTTGTTTGAAGGTTTTAGGGAGAGAGACTGTAGGTGACAGATGACGCTCTCTTTGTTTCTGGGGACCAAAAATAATCATTTCAGTTTTGTTTGCGTTTAGCTGAAGGAAGTTATTTTGCATCCACTCACTGATCTGTTGGATACAGTGAAGGAGTGAGTCCACTGGTCCATGTTCTCCATCAGTCAGTGATACATAGATCTGAGTGTCGTCTGCATAGTTGTGATAGGTCAGTTAATACGCAGAAACGAAGCGTCCTAACGGCAGCATGTAGAGATTGAACAGAAGAGGTCCCAGGATCGACCCCTGTGGTACTCGCACGCTGGTGAAGTTCAATAAAACACAAAATTAAAGTGATATGTCAGTCATATTGATGTATGTATTTATTTATTTAATTGTTAATGGTAATTTAGCCTATTTTTAATTCATTTTGAAATGAAATGTGCAAACGCTTTATCAAATACATTGGAAGCACATTCAGCGTGCTAACATGTCGGCACTGAATGTGCTTAAGAGTGCTCCTGAGCACTCTTAGGATTTGTACTTACCCAAGAGTAATTCTGGTTCCGAGAAAATTTTGTGAATGCCACAAACTTCGTAAAATCCACGTAAGTAGGATTTACGCACAAATTTGTTCTTAAGTAAGGTTCGTGAATGAGGCCCATTGAACATAGGGTTTGAATATTGTGAACTTACAATAAAGTATGCCTTTTTTAGGGCCTTTAGAAATTGAAAATTTTAGGCGAGGCTAAAAAAAGTTTTTTTTCCCAAACTTCAAAGGATGCAGAGTGAAATAGGAATGACAAACATTATTTTAGTATATATTTACATAAACTAGAAGGCTCTAGCTTTAAAATGAAGGCATCATACAAGCATGTGAGATGTAAGATGTGTTTTTAAATAAGCAAAGACATTTGAGTATGCCCAACTTTTGTGCACAAGCCAAAATGAGGCAGATGTTAAGAGGTTAAAGGATTGGCCTTCATTTGCAGAGGAAACTCCAGCTTGTCAATGCCGGTGTCATCAGAAAAAATGCTCATAGGTACGCACACAGACTCATACCGTGGTTAATAAAGGCGGCCGGCCCGAGCCACAGCTGGGCACAGTTCTTGCGAGTGGAGTACATGACGCTGAAGTCGTTCTCTCCATGTCGCAGCAGCTGGTTCTCCTCGCTCTCCGATAGTTCTGCGATGCAGCCCACCAGGTACTCCATCTTATCGTTCCTCTTCCTGCAAGAACAAAGCAGAGGGTAAAAAGACTGCTTTAACACACAGTTTGATTTTATGCAAATTACAGCACTTTTACTCCAGTTTAGTTCTTTCTCAAGATCTGAACTGAATACTGTAGTTTTGAACTTTTTCCCTAAGAAAGAAATTAATATTTCAAAAGATTCTACTGAATTAGTATTTACAATGTTATACCGTTAAGCTTTAAACAAGCTTTAAACAAGCAATAAACCAAACAAAATATTCTGTCATTATCTCAATAGAAAATGTTATCTTTAGTGTGAAGTCGGCGAACGTCAATCACTTCAACTGCTGCGTCAGCTGTTCAAAATCATAACAAACAACACGTTGCCTCGACCTATAAAGAAGTCAGAACAAAAAACAATTCCTTGGTCGCTGGATGCAGTCAACACTTTCCTCAGTTTGAGAAGAGGACACCAGCGTGAGCTCGATGATGCCACCAGAAACCAGAGGGTGTTTGTGGAGGTAGCGCTAACAGCGGAGCAGAATGGATACCCACGGACATCACAGTACAGAGAAAAGTTAAGAAGCTTAAAAGTGACTACTATGAACTGAAAGATCACAACAGCAGAAGTAGACACAGAACCGAAAAGTCTGCAGGTGGTTTGACCAAATGGATATAATTACTACAGACATCGGCTAACAAGCTACACCAGCCAACACCAGCTACACCAGGAGAGAAGCCTCACTCTGCTTTGTCTCAGATGTTGAGTTTGAGAGAAATGGTGAGTGTCGGCCTTCAATCAAATGCTAAAGTATCTGGTCTTATACTGAAAGTGTATCGGTGGTTCTAAAGTCTAAAACAGCTAAACAGCTAACAGCGGCTGCATATAAGAAAAAAAACCACCTAACCCCAAAAAAATTCTAACAAAAGGTTTCTCAGATGATTTTTTTAGTATTAGGTGTCCTTAATAACATACTAAAAGTTTGCCAAAGTTTGACCACTAGAAAGGTGTAATTTTCAAGATGGCGCCCAAGATGGGCAGGAAGCCCTTAACATATCCTAACTCGTTCATTATTTGACCTAGCCAAGTAATCTTGGTGTCTAACCCCATGTTTTCTGGGTCTATGAATCCATTGGACTAAATTGCACTGAGATTATTTCATACTTATGGAATACATGATTTTGTGATATTACTGTAAGGTTTTATCTTTGGGGTGAACCATTCTGAAGTCCTTAAAGCAATTGATAAACATGCCCCATTTAAAACTATTCGCGTAAAAGGACGGCATCTTCCATGGACTAGCTCTGACTTAATTCATCTTTTAAAACGTCGAGACCAAGCTTGGACTAAATACAGAGAGTTTAAGGACCCTAACGACTGGGAGATCTATAGACAACTCAGGAATCAATCCAAAACCCAAACTAGAAATGCCAAGTCCAATCAATATAAGGAAGCCCTCGGTCTGAACTACAATAATCCTAAACAATTTTGAAAACACCTGGACCAGCTTCAGGGTAGGTCCAAAAGAAACTCAACTAATCCTGTTACTGTTAATAATACTACAATTGCTGATCTTAACTTAATCTCTGAATGCTTTAATGAGTATTTTTCCTCCATATGTAGTAAGTAAGTACTTACTACTACTACTTATGTAAGTAAATAAGTAAGTAAGTAGTAATCTTTATTTATATACCGCCTTTTCACTGCAGATCTGAGTCTCAAAGCGGTTTACAATTGTTAATTTTTGGGCATTTGTCTCTCACTCCACACAGAGATTGGAGCGGGGTCGCCAGTACAGGAGGCATATGCCAGAACTATTGGACATATTTTTAGTGGTAGGGGAAACCGTAGCACCCGGAGGAAACCTACGCAGACACGGGGAGAACATGCAAACTCCACCCAGAAAGGCCCCGGTCCGACCGGGATTCGAACCCAGGACCTTCTTTCTGAGAGGCGAAAGTGCTATCCACTCAGCCACCGTGCCGCCCACCGTACACAGCACTCTGGTCATCCATACTTACCTAATCCACTAAATGACGTTGTTCCTGAGACATAATTTTCTTTAAATCAGATTTCACATTTGGATGCAATACAAGCTATAAACGAGCTTCAAACTAACAGTGCGGCTGGTCCAGAAAAGTAAAATACCTTTTACTGGGATCCAGTGTGCTTATCTATCCACTAACCGACCTATTTAACCTGTCACTAAGTACGTGCTCTGTCCCTCTCATCTGGAAAACTGCAAGGGTTACTCCCATCTTTAAAGGCGTAGACCACTCCGATGTAAGTAACTATCGGCCCATCTCTATTATATGCACTATCACTAATGTAAAAGATCCTTTTCCGCCAACTGTAACTTTAACATCTTATCTCCCCATCAGTCAGGCTTGCAGTCTGGCTACTCAACTACTAAGGCACTACTTAAATTTACAAATGATGTTTTCCCGTCCATCCATCCATCCATTCATTTTCGTCCGCTTCATCCGTTGCCAGGTCGCGGGGGCAGCATTCTAAGCAGAGACGGCCACACTTCCTCCAGCTCGTCCGGGGAGACCCCAAGACATTCCCAGGCCAGCTGAGAGACATAGTCCCTCCAGCGTGTCCTGGGTCTTCCCAGGGGCCTCCTCGCGGTGGGATGCGCCCGGAACACCTCCCTAGGGAGGCGTCCAGGAGGCATCCGGAACAGATGCCCGAGCCACCTTAACTGGTTCTTCTTGATATGGAGAAGCGGCGGCTCTACTCCGAGCTCCTCCCGTGTGACTGAGCTCCTTACCCTATCTCTAAGGGAGCAACCACTCTCGCTTCACACTCGGCTGCATACCGCCCCAGTGCATCTTGCAGGTCCTGGTTCGTTGGAGCCAACAGGACAACATTGTCCGCAAACAGCAGAAATGGAATCCTGTGGTATCCGAACCGGACCCTACGCCTAGAAATTCTGTCACACAGTGAACAAAACCGGTGACAAAGGGCAACCTTGGCGGAGGACAACATGCACAGGGAACAGGTCGGACTTACTGCTGATGCAAACACAGCTCTGGCTCCGGTCATACAGGGACCGGATGGCCCTCAGCAGAGGACCCCGGACCCCATACTCCCGGAGGACCCCCCAAAGGACACCCCGGGGAACACGGTCGAACGCCTTCTCCAAATCCACAAAGCACATGTGAACAGGTTGGGCGAACTCCCATGAACCCTCGAGTATCCGATGGAGAGTATAAAGCTGGTCCAGTGTTACGCAGCCGGGACGAAAACCACACTGCTCCTCCTGAATCCGAGATTCGACCATCGGTCGTAGCCTCCTCTCCAGTACCTTGGAGTAGACCTTACCAGGGAGGCTGAGGAGTGTGATCCCACAATAATTGGAACACACCCTCCGGTCCGGTCCCCCTTTTTGTAGAGAGGGACCACCACCCCCGTATGCCACTCTATTGGTACCGCCCCCGAGCGCCACGCGATGTTGCAGAGACGTATCAGCCAAGACAGTCCAACAACATCCAGAGACTTTAGATAGTCAGGACGAATCTCATCCACTCCCGGATCCTTGCCACCAAGGAGGCGGCCAACAACCTTTGTGACTTCAGCAAGGGAGATGGAAGTATCCGCCCCAACATCCTCAACCTCTGAAACGGAGGCAGAGGCTGAGGATGTTGTCCCTTCCTTTGATTATAACCAGTTCACAGGTGGCATTTGATCTCTCCAAGGCTTTTGATCTAGTAGACCACTATTTACTTTTGGACAAACTTTACTCAGTAGGTCTCAGTAGAAATGCTCTCGGTTCAATGCTTATCTTCATAATAGACGACAGTTTGTAGTTTTTAATGGTCTTCAAACGGGTCTCTCTGGCATGGAAAAAGGAGTACCACAGGGCTCAACCCTTGGACCTGTTTTATTTTCTATCTTCATCAATGACCTACCCCAAGTGTGTAGTCATTGCTAGACTCATCTATATGCTGATGTCGTCTGTCAGGTGCAAACTTACAACTGCAAATGTATCTAAAAGAGGACTTTCATTCTAATTCAAAAGTGGCTCAACAAATATGCTAAAACTAAACATGAAAAAATCTGCCCACATGCTCTTTGAATAAGAGGAAACAACGGAAGAAAATAGAAAAAGATATGCATAAATAAGAAAAAGATATGCATAAATAAGAAAATAATAAAGAAATATAAAAAACAAAACAAATTATAAATTTGATAAAATAATTATATAAAAAAAACACAAGGGGTTAGCGGTACTGAGCCTTCAGCCCTGTTTTGACTAATTTCACGGTACCACACAGTTCTAATTAATTTATTCTTTATTGGAATCACAATAATGGTTTTGAACCACAGAAACCACCAACACGATATGATAAAAGAGAAATATGGGATTACTTAGGGGAAATTGTACTTCTTTTTTGCATACATATATGTATGCTTATAACCAATTGCTTTAATATATAATTGTACTTATCACTTATTTTTCATGCAAATATACTAATTAGAATATTATATGACCAAAACAGATATCAGACACCAATATTTCTGGTCTAGGAGAAATACAAAGGAGTAATGGTCATTTTAAGGACCTGATGGCCGCCATTTTGAAAATGAGGCCTTTCTTGGAGTCAAACTCTGGTAAACTTTTAGTATGTTTTTAAGTAGATCTGATACTACTGTAAACCACTGAGAAACCTTTTTTTAGAATTTTTTTTGGGTCAAGTCATATTTGCAGCTGACTATTTTGATGTGATATGTGTCATATCTAGCGTCATATCTTTTACTAACGGTAGTTAGAGTGAATCATGGTTCAATATAGACAGTTGTTGTGTTATATGGTGAATACTGGGTTGAAACCCGAAAAAAGAGAGATTTAGAGATTGAAAGCACGTTCGCTGACTCCAGATTGTTTTACTCAGCCCAGCAAGAACCAGGGCCAAGCCGTTACTAAAAAAGTACAGAGTAGCAGCTAAAGCGAGCTGGTGGAAACGCCAGCAAAGTCAAGTCAATTAGTACTGTAGGAGTCAATTTATGTCCTTATGTTGGTGTGTGATATTT